GGATGCTGGTCAGCTGATGAAGCGGTACGTGTTCTCACCATCAGCGAAAGAACAGAGTGGAAGTTCAATTAGCATTGAGAAATAAAGTTGCACGACATGAAAGAATAGATATGTAGTTTTTCCTAAACTCCGTAGCCGCTGGGGATAAACACAGACGTCTCCGTATCGATTCTTTAGACTTTACTAAGCTTCTCCATGAATTGTGAGACTTAAGCAACCTAGAGCTCTGATACCAACTTGTGACGACCCGGATTTCCCACATTGGGGAGTCGTGATGGCGCCTACTCGTGAAAGCTAGGCAAGCCGAGTGTTGCAGATTTTATTACCCTTTTTCCTTAACCTTTAACATTTACAAGTAAATATATGATCAACAGCGAAATAATAATAAGAAGAAGAAATGTAGAATACAAAATCTAATAATTTAACTTAATACAAATAAAATTCCATAGAAATAATCCACCCAGAACTGGTGTGACAATCTCACGGACTATCTAAACAAGGAAAATACATGTCTGTCTCTTAAATAAGTAAAAACAGAAAGAAATAGGATATAAGGGGTCTATAGGACTACCTCGGTCTCCGCTGAACTGAAGGCAGCAACCTCACTATGGTCCAAATGCTCTAGTACCGTGATCTGCAAACAGTACAGAGTGTAGTATCAGCACAACCGACCCCATGTGCTGGTAAGTATCAAGCCTAACCTCGGCGAAGTAGTGACAAGTCTAGGACAAGACTACCAAATAAACATGTGCATTTAAATCATATACGACAAATAATAATTACAGAAACTAGCAGTTAAAGATGGGAAGGGGGAAACATGCTGCTAGGAGTATCAACTACTAACAGAATTTTAGTAGAGAAGCATAAAGAACACCATAATTCCATATCAGCAAGAATTAGGGAAACAGTAACAAGTGTACGACATCACCTTTCGTGCTTTTGCTCTCGTTCTGACCATAAGAATCAATATTCACTTTCGTTCTTTCTTGTTATGGCGTGCAACCCGATCCCAATCATATAATACTGTTGGGGCGTGGAACCCGATCCAAATCATATAATGATGTTGTGGCGTGCAACCCGATCCAAATCATATAATGATCTTGCGGCGTGCAACCTGACCCCGCCTGTCCACCGCTATTACTTCTTGTTGCGGCGTGCAACCCGATCCCATATAATATTATTGCGGCGTGTAACCCGATCCCAATATATAAATCAACACCAATCACAAAAGAATCCCGACAAGAGAACAATATTATAACAACAATTTCCCGACAAGGGAAACAATATCATAAGCAATAATTCCGGCAAGGGAAACAATATCATAAACAATAACATCCTGGCAAGGAAACAATATCATAAACAATAACCTCCCGGCAAGGGAAACAACAATATATATCATCTCGTTTCCACAATCACTTCACAACATAAGTCTCAACTTGAGCCAATGCTCAACAATGGTCAATTACCAAGAATACTTTCATAAGCCTTGTTCAACATTTATAATCATCATATTAAGCATGGAAAATACATAACGGAGTCACAACAATCATAGTATAAGACTCATGGGCATGCTTGACACTAACGTATAGATACTCGTCACCACACCTACACGTCGTACTCAACACATAACACTTAGCAAATAAGATCACAACTCCTATTCCGTCAATCTAAGGTTAGACCATACACTCACCTCAGTGCCACGAACACAATCAAGCCTCAACTACCGCTTTACCTCTCGGTTTCATTTTCAATTCGCTTGTTTCTAGTCACAATTTACTTAATAACATTAATAAATGCTAAATAAACTAATTCTAATGCATGAAAATAGGTTTCCCAATGTTTTCCCCAAAAAGTCAAAACCCGACCCTGAGCCATCATGGTCAAAACCCGAAGTTCGAACCAAAACTCGATCACCCATTCACCCACGAACTCAAATATATAATTTGTTTTGAAATCGGACCTCAAATTGAGGTCCAAATCCCCAAAATTTAAAATTTCTAAGTTCTACCCAAAATCACACAATTTCCCATGACAAAACCCTTGTTTTTGAAATGAAATCATGTAAAAAGATGTTATAGATTGAAGGAAATAAGTTAGAAATTACTTACTAATGATTTGGAGAAGAATCTTTCTTTGACAAATCGCCCAAGAGAGTTTAGGGTTTGAAAGAGTTTGAAAAATGGATGAAATCCCGTCTGAAATTCCACTTATCAGGTGCAGATGTCACAATTGCGACCAGGGGGTTCGCACATGCGAACCCTTCAAAAGTCTGCTACCTTCGCATTTGCCAAGGATTTGCTGCATTTACTACTCCTGAGGATCTCTGCAATTTTCTCAATTGCGAAGGAAATGTCGCATTTGCGACTACTGGGATTTTCTAAGGGCTCGCATTTGCGAAGAAATGGTCGCTAATGCGAGCAAGGTTGGCCAGGGCTTATTTCGCAATTGCGTTCAGCCCTTCGCAATTCCCAAGCTATCAGACTTCGCAATTCCGATCCCTGAACTCGCAATTGCGAGATCACAGGCCAATACCAGACCTGCAATCCTGCAACAATCTTCCTAAGTCCAAATACACTCTGTGGCCTATCCAAAACTCACCCGAGCCATCGGGGCTCCAAACCAATCATGAACACAAGTCTAAAATAATCATATGGACTTTCTCGTGCGATCAAATCATCAAAATAACATCAACAACTACGAATTAAACCTCAAATTCATGAAATTACTCAAGAACATTGAAATTCTCATTTTCTCAACTAAAGGTCCGATTTATACGAAACGAACTCCGATTCTTACCAAATTCCACAGATTCAACCTAATTAATTTTTTAAACTCGTACGGGCTCCAAAATCAAAATACGGGCTCGATACCATCAAGAATGCGCATCATTTCATTTCTAAAAGACTTTATATTTTCCAGCAAATAATTTTCTTTCAAAATTCAATCCTCGGGCAAGGGAGCTCGGAATTCTATTCTGGACATACGCCCCAGTCCCATATTTTACTACGGACCCTACGGGATCGTCCGCTCACGGGTCCGGGTCCGTTTACCAAGAATGTTGACCAAAGTCAACGTTAATCTATTTTAAAGGCAAAATTAGCATTTTCCTCAAATTTTCACATAAAAGCTTTACGGATATACGACCGGACTGTGCATGCAAATCGAGGTGAGACAAAAGGATATTTTTAAGGTCTTGGAACATGGAATTTACTTCCAAAACGAGTGATAACCCATAAGGTCATCACAACATAAAAGAACCCCAAATATTTCTAGACACTTTTAAAGAATATATATATATATGTGGGTCAGTGTGTACCAGCTGCTATCCCCGCTAAGATACAGGGGGGGGGGGGGCGGGGGGGGGGGGGGGTTTGGTTCCGTGTTTTTTACTCAATACCAAATCAAACCTAGCCAGGCTTTTTAATCAGTTTGGTTTGACTTTTTGATTTGGTGCGATTTTTCGATTTGGTTTGTACACCCTACTAGGGGCATATGAATTTCGTGTCAATTGTTTGAAATTTTGCGTTTAGATCTTTATAGAAAGTAAGATAATATCTTTTGTTGTATTAATATTCTAATTACCATAGTGAGGGGTGTTGAATTAAAGCATGAAAATGGTAAGTAGTTAAGATTTTCAATGTTGTAATTCTAGCTAGATTATAAGAAATTATGAAATAACTTGGTGAATTAATCACTGGTCTATGTTAATTACCAAATCAAGTACTTTCATAGGTCTATATATTTGGAGAATTCCATAATTATTTCTCACAATCTTCTGATATTTTAGTACTAAATTATGCATTGCATGGTTTTGTTTTCCATGTTGGCTCTTCATCATTGTATGTCCATGTTAATTCCTTTTAAACTTATATTTTTAATTTATTATTATTATTATCATTATTATTATTATTATTATTATTATTATTAAAATGCAAGCAATATGAAGTAGATTTTTGTACGGTTACCTATTGTTATGTTTTAGTTGATATGACACTGTAAAAAACATTATTTCACGAAATGCAGGTGACAAAAGTACAAGAGTTAAAGCAGAAGTTTTAATCGATCCATGCATCCAAGTTTCTGGTGCACCAGCCAAATGGTGTTGTGTCACGGCTTCGGGATGCTATCCTTCTTATGAAGAATGTCTCGCAAATTGCCACCATTGATTAATTTTAAAAAAAGAAATATTGTTAATTCGAGAAAGCATTATGGTTTTTATCAATTTGTACTAGTAAGTTCCATGTCGTTACATAAAATAAAAAAATGCGATTATCATTAATAATTTCAGTTACAGTTATTGATACTTTAAATACATATATCTATATCATATTTTTCTTACATACTATGTCTACCTGAAATTGAACATGTATATATTATTTCTTTCTCGATGCAAAGCCTTATACATTTTATATAACAAGTGTATAATCATCGTACACATCGATTATATGCTGATTATATACTCTGTATTCTTTAAAATTAGTAAAAAATAAAGATTAGGATTTTTTTCTAGTTTTGGTTTTGCTGAGAGTGGTTATTGTTGTTTGCTCTAGCTCTAGAGTCAAAAGGGTTAATATATGTATATTGTTTACTTTCATTTGATTAAAAAAAAAAAAGGTTTATCGCACAACTTAAGTAATGTTGCAAACCAACAACCACTAATTTATATTCTCCTATGTTTACAATTTTGGTCCAATACTTTTCAGAAGAAAGACACATAGGTAATAACATTTCCAACACAATACATAGAATAGAAATGACATCAGGTACCCACTCTAGAGGCTGCTATTTATAAATTAGCCAGTGTGTCCTGAATTTCAGTTTTTCAAGACAAGATACCCTGAATTGTCCTCATCTTACGATTTTTAATTTAAAATTTCTGGACAAAATGAATACTGATTAATCTCTAAATAGCATTACATAGAGTAGTTATTAAACACAGTGTCTTTGGACCTCACACCAAATTAAACTATTGAACAAAAATGAAACAAATACATTTAACCTCAAGCAATAGACCATTCCTTGATTAGCTCAAATTGCAACTTTATTATCTCATCCTCAGGCAAAGTCATGGTCATAATCCTTCCTTCATCACCATCCTTGCTAGAATCATTTGGCCCGGCCGGAAGCACCACGACGGTCCCTGCATCGCCTACTCCATCGATTAAATAACTTACATTTGTTGGTTTGTGTCGCTTCCAATTTAATCCATAGAGATCAGTACCTTCCATGTTTACAAAAGTCAAATTTGCTCCGTAAACAACAATGTCTGATACTCCATGATCTTTCTCGGTGGCTTCATCGATCTTTAATCGCTCATCAATAGTCTCATTTTTAATTAACCTTGCTAAATCACTAGGATTAGCTTCTCTAATTGAGTGATCAACCTTTACCACACCAATGACTTGATTGTTCCCAACAAGGCCTTCCTTCTTTTCCTCACCCATTTTACAAATTGTTACAATTTTGGTTTTTGGCCCATCTCTAATTCTTGAAACGGACCCCAAATAATAGCACATAGTGATTCAAATGGGCCTTAAATTTCTATTATTGATTGTAGTTGGCCTAATTTTAAGGCAGTAACATGGATTGAAAATGACTCTATTTTGCAACTATTGTTGGCAATCCTATTGTAACGATCCGATTAGTTGTTTTGAGCTCTAGCGCGTCGTTCCGCGATTTGAGACCCTGAGTAGCTTCACTTCAGTTATTATGACTTGTACGCATTGTCGGTATTGAATTCCGGGAAGTTCAGAGTTGATCTGGAGAGAGAATTCTCATGTCGGAAGCTTTAAGTTGGAAGAATTGGCTAAGACTGGATTTTTGAGTAAATGACCTCCGAATCAGGATTTGAAGGTTCCATCAGGTTCGTATAATGATTTCGGACTTAGGCGTAGGTCCGGATCGGGTTTTGGATGACTCATGAGCATTTCAGCGCCTATTGTGGAAGTTAGCATTTTGGAAGAATTTCATAAGTTTTGGTTGAAGTGCATTTCTGTGTCATTGAGGTCTGTTTGGGATTCCGAGCCTGGGAATAGCTCCGTATGGTTATTCTGGTGTTAGGAGCGCGATCGAAAGTGAATTCAGAGGTCCGTGGGTCATTTTGGAGTCATTTGGCTAAAGTTGGAAATTTGAAGGTTTTTTAGAAGTTTGATTGGAAGCGGAGTTTTTGATATCGGGTTCGGATTATGATTCCGGAAGTTGGAGTAGGTCTGAAATGTCGAATATGACTAGTGTGGAAAATTTGAGGTCAATCGGACGTGATTTGGTAGGTTTCGGCATCGAATTTAGAAGTTAGATGTTCTGAAGTTCGTAAAGTTTGAATTGGGGTGTGACTCATGAATTCGGCGTTGTTGGATGTGATTTGAGGCCTCGCGCAGGTCTGCATTATGTTTTGGGACTGGTGGGTATGATTGGTTAGGGTCCTGGGGGCCTCGAGTGGATTCCGGATGGTTAACGGAGAAATTATGGAATTTGAGAAAGAAGTTAGGCAGGTGATATCTGGTGTAACCGCACCTGCGATGTTTTGGCCGCAGAAGCAGCCATGGGGTCGCATATGCGGTTTGGGCGAAGAAGTGCAGTGACCGCGGGTGCGGAACTTTACCCGCAGATGCGGGTGCGCATCTGCGCTGAGGAGACCGTAGAAGAGGATTTTTGGCCTGAGCCTAGGACCGCAGAAGCGGCACATGCGCCGCAGAAGCGGGGCCGCACAAGCGGTATATGCACCGCAGGTGCGGAAATACCGGAGGTAGTGAGGTTCTTTTAAATCCGGGGTTGGGTTCATTTCAACCCCATTTCTTCTATTGGAGCCGATTTTGAAGCGACTTTGAGGTGCCATTTTCACCGCCAAGCAAGAGGTAAGTGGTTTATGTTAGTTTTGAGTTAAATACATGATTCTATGTGGATTTGAGTATGAAAATTTGTGGAAAACTTGGGGTTTGAGGGAAAACCTAGAAACTTGGTATTCTTGGATTTTGACCACTATTTTTTGGACTTGAAATTGAGAGTAAATTATATATTTTAGTTCGTGAGGTTATGGGCAAACTTTTTCTTCGAAAAATTTTGGAATCCGGGCACGTGGGCCTGATGGCGCTTTTATCAACTTTTCGGTTTTGGAGCTTCTTGGGAGAGATTGAAGAGGGAATTCAAGTGAAATTTTTTGAAGTAAGATTGTTGAACCTAAAACTCGATCCTATGTTGATTCTTACTAGTTTAAACATGAAATTAGTGGGATTTGAAGCCTAAAATTGGGGGTTTAGGACTTGAAATTTGGAGACTTTGATTAGGGATTTGAGGGGTCGTTTGTGGTCGGATTTTGGTGCATTTGATATGTATAGACTCGTGGGAGGATAAGGATTCTTGTTATGTAATTATTATCGGAATCCGAAATGTGGGCCCGGGGGGTCGGGTTTGGTCAATTTCAAGATTTTTGGTGTAAATTGATTATTTTCAAGAGGGTTTTGTTCCTTTAGCGTATGTTGATGAGCACATTCTGGTTTTGGACAGATTTGGAGCATTCGGAGGTCGATTCGAGAGGCAAAGGCATCGCGGGCTAGAGTTTCGACCGGATTGAGGTAAACAATCATTGTATATGTTGTCCTGAGGGTATGAAACCCCGAATTTCAGATCGTTGTACTATTTTGAGGTAACACACACGCTAGATGACGAGCGTGGGGTCGTGCACCGTTGGGTATTGTGACTTGGTCTATCCTGTATGACTGTTAAGTCACTTATTTGATCGAACATTATTTAATATTATTGTAATTTTGGAAAATATTTGCCATGACCTAAAATCCTTCCAAAGGAGTCGTGATGGCACCTAGTCTCTAGTCTCTAAACTAGGTAAGCGTAACCTATTATGTAATAACGTGGATATTTACTAACTTTAAATTAAATTACTCAGAACAAATTATAATTCGCAAAACCAGTGGTACAAGTCATAAGCCTTTGTAAGAGTAATTATACATAATAAATACAACATTGTCCTGGAACAAGAAGGAATCAATGGAACGTAAATACAAACGAAGGTGACTCCGAGGCCTGCGAATGCAGCAGCAGGTTACCTTGAGTCTCCACCACGATAATCTGCATAGCTACTATCGATCAATTCCTGGATATGTACACAAAAATGTACAGAAGTGTAGTATGAGCACACCACGACGGTGCCCAGTAAGTATCAAGACTAACCTCGGCGGGGTAGTTACAAGGAACGGTCAAGACACTAACTGGTCAGACAGATTAAACAGGATATGATAACAAATATCAAGATAAAGGTAATGAAATAATATCAACAGCAGGGACAAATCAATTAGCAAACAGTCGAAAAAATAAAAGGAAACTCAGATGGAAAGGAAAGATGACCAAATAAATCAACACAAACATAGCTGGAACACAGAGAAGTAGAATGAATTCAAGTAAGGAAGACAGCGTCAACTCAATCAATCATATCGTTTCTGGGGCACAACCCCAGCCATCTCATAACTCGATGTCTCATATCATAACCTCAACTTCCAAACCTTTAGCACACCCGGCACCTTGTGCACACATATTTTTTCTCACTTTGTACAACAACATTCTCATGTTATTCAATACATAGGACCCATAACTAATGCAATTAAGATGTTGCAGGAGTCTCATTTACATAAAATAAAGTACAGTACATCTTCTAAACCAATTAGGAACCCAACAAGAAAAGATGAAGCTATTTTTAGAAATAATTTGAATAAAGAAAGTACCATTTTCTATTTAAAATACAACATCGAATGAATTATTACCTTTAACATGGGATTTAATAAATTAACTTAGTAGAAATTCTTTTTTAAGTAAATTACAACTTCAGGCGGTTTAAGGGAATTTAATTGAGTAACTAATTGAATTAAAAATGTGACAATTTTGAAATTTTAAGTATTGAAACATGTATATATAAATACGGCGAGGTATTGAAAATACAATGAATTCCAACACAAAGGATCACAACAGTAAAGGAGTCTAAATAGTTAAAACACTTGAATTGATAACAACAAATAAACACAACAAACAGAAAGTGCACGGCATCACCCTTCGTGCTTTAAATCTCAATCCTCACCATGTAATCAATAATAGAAAAGTGCACAGCATCACCCTTCGTGCTTTATCACTCTTCCTCACCATATGAGTCATATAAATGTACACGGCATCACCCTTCGTGCTTTATCACTCTTCTTCACCATATGAATAGTATAAATGTGCACGACATCACCCTTCGTGCTTTATCTCTCTTCCTCACCATATGAATAGTATAAATGTGCACAACATCAACATTCGTGCTTTATCTCACTTCCTCACCATATGAATAGTATAAATGTGCACGGTATCACCATTCGTGCTTTATCTCTCTTCCTCACCATATGCATCCATATAGATGTAAATGTGCAGGGCATCACCCTTCGTACTTTATCACTCTTCCTCACCCAAACAATAGATTCAACAACATCCCGGCAAGGGAATCAACAATAGAAACAAATACATCCCGGCAAGGGAATCAACAATTGAAACAATACATCCCGGCAAGGGAATCAACAATAACCAATCTCGTTCCAACAATTAACTTCACAAAATGAATCCCAACTTGAGTCAATACTCAACAACGGTCAAATACCAAGGAATCACCATAAGCCTAGTCTAACATTAATACTCATCAAGTCAAGCATGAATAGTACATAATAAGGATCACAAAAAAAACCAAGAAGCACACTAACCTTAACAAAGCAGCAAGACATGATAAGCATGTGATAATTACACCGGTAACCACAACAAATGGACATGTAAAATATTTGCACGAAGACATAGAGGAACTCACAATCAAGAAGTATCAAAACAATAAGGAAGGCAATAACTTCAATTAAGGCAATTAGGGGTCAAGTAACACGTAAGAATTAGAGAAAAGCTAGCAACATCATATGGAGCATATAAAGGTAATTTAAGCAATTAGGAAACTCAAGCATGACGGAATACTTTGCACATAATCAACATAAGGACCTAATGTCACGACCCTACACCCAGACCCGATCGTGATTGCGCCTCTCGTGAAGACAAGGCCAGCCGACACATTTCCAATTCGAAGTTAAACACCTAAACAACAATAAACATGCAAAAATATGATTTAATAATACTAAACAGCAGTTAATATCATAACATTGCAGAAGTACTAGCCAAACACAGCCCAAAACGGGGTGTCACTAGTCATGTGCATCTACTAAGGTCTAACTACAACTGGCGAAGTCTGAAGTGTACTAAGTACAGACTAATAGAATAAAGAGGGAGAAAAGCAGTGCTGCGAACGCCGGCAACTACCTTGCTAAACTCGAATGACTCTGCCTCCGATCAACCAATACCCGCTACCGGGTTCAGAAAATACCTGAATCTGCACACAAAGTGCAGGGAGTAAAGTGAGTTCTCCGACTAGGTG